AGTTGGGCTTGGTTAAAAGGAAAGGAAGCAGAGCTGAGTGAGGGAAATATGCAAAATGCTATGGAGGAAGAAACATGTTCAGTAATGCTAAGCATTAATTATAAATTTAACTTAGATTTGACACTAATGTTAAGAGTAAATATGAAGCAATTTGGTTCACTGATTTAATATGCATTGAAATATTAAAATTAATAACATTTCTTAACAGAATTATATGTTGTATACCTATCAGTAAGAAGCAGGCTGAATCTCACACGCAGATTAACCCTACAGGGACATGGGACAGTCATTTGCTGCCTGTGGAGATGGCTCAGGAGTTCACAGAATTGAATCAGACAATCATTTAGGTTGGAAAAGCCCTCTAAGGTCATCAAGTCCAACCATTAACACAGCACTTACCAAGATCACCACCAAGATGTCCCTCAGTGCCACATCTACACTGTCTTTTAAATCCCCTCAGGGAGGGGGACTCCACCACTGCCCTGGGCAGCTGTGCCAGGGCTGGACAAACCTTCTGGTGAAGAAAACAGATTTTCCATGGGGTTGCTTTTCATACATAAAGGGCTTTTTAAAGTGTCCTGGGCAGTCCTGTGTCCATTTGACACAGGATTCTAGACAAAAAGTTTCAGATCAAGCTTCTTATCCTCCTCGCTCGAAAAGTAGTTTCGAGATCGTGTTTTCTGTTTTTCAACTTTGTGTGCCATCCCCAGCCACAGCTGGAAAACAATAATCATTCAAGCAAGGTTATTTTAGAACCTGGATGTATTGTATTAGCAACCACAGCGCACAAAACTGAAGGACTTCTTTACCTTAAAGCTATCTTGAGAAATATTTTGGCTTTAGGGCTTGAATTGTAACTCTGTCCCCCAGTGTGCGGGCTTGGATTAGTAATTTTACTCTCATTGATACTTTAATGCAAGCTTTGTCAGCATTTCTGTTTGGAACTTTGCTTTGATATTGCTACCATTAAAATTGTTGCAATTTTTCCTATTCTAGGTAGTCTCCAAGGAGGAGATCCACATAGTCACGCTTCAGTGGAAATTACATAAATCCTTTCTAGATCTGGGCCCAAGTAAATGCAGCACTGTCAGACAGAAAACCACCCAGGAATCTTTCCTCTTTTACTAAGTTATTCCCCCTTTACTATTCCTTCATCAATTCTTTTATAAACACACCCTCCTATTTTTCCTGGCACGGTACAGCATGCTCTTCTCCTTCAAGGCAGCTAACAAGAAAAAAAAAAAAAACCCGACAAAAAGGATCCCTTCCAAGGAATAAGGTGCTCATCCAAGCTCACCTGCACACATGATGACTTCAGTAGCTCTACGAATTCCACAGAGTTTAATTTCTCGCTGGAAATTAAGAGCTCTGGCTCTCTGAAGAAGCTTCCCCAGCACAGACCACTCTGAGCAGTCCTGCCTATGAAACATCTGACTGAGGTGAACATCAGGTGAACTCCAGCACTTCCTTCAAAACCCAGCATGTCCTCAACTCCTCAAGTCAGGGCATCTTACCTGGGCTGTGAGTCTCACCCTCTCAGAACACTGGATGAATATAAGGCTGCTAATTAGTAAATTAATTTTAAAAAAAACTTTCTCCTGAACATGCTTTCCCTCCAAGCCCAAAGAAGCAAACCTTTACTTCAATGCTATCAGCTTGAATAGTACTTAACAGCAAGTAAATCTAAGAGCTCTGGAAATAAGTCCCCCTTGTTTCCAACTCATTTGCATGTCACGGTGTGCTGATTTTAACACGCAAAACGTTCACATCCCAGCTGAGCAGTTCCCCCAGTGGTGGTTTCATAATGTCTTAAGGCAGTAGCTGCACCTGCAACCTCTTCCCTCAGTCAGGGCTCTCCTGTCTGTCTCGTGGCTGCTTCCACAAACTCAAAGGAATCTGCACTTTGCAATGGGATGCACAGAGCACTGCTGAACACAGAGAAGCCATGAACGGCCTAGGAAACCTCCAGAGCTAAAAACAGCAAGAGGGTCAGAAAGTACTTGGGAGGTATATGATGTACCTTTGCTTGTACTAGTCCTCAGGCTATCCCTAGGTCTTTGATAACTGCCAGAAATGGGACAACGGGCTGTTTGGCTCCCTGGCCTGACCCTGTAAGGTTGTTTTATGCGTTCTTCCCTCTGTAAACATGGCTAATGGGTCAAATACTATTCGCGCAGGGAAGAAACAACACCTATTCCTCAGTGTCTCTTCAAGGAATTGACTCATCTCCAACCAGCATTCCAGGTGCAGTTTAGCTCACGGGGTCAGGTCTAAGCTAATTCCCCAAAGCCAGAGGGGTGTGGATGCATAAACCTCTGCAACAGTTTCCCAAATGCTGCAGGAAACTTTATGAGGTCAGACCCAGTGCTCTGAAAATGCTCATGACCAGCTTTCCCTCATCACTGTGTCCAGCTTACACCACAGTGTGCTGGAAAAAGCAGTCCAGAAACACTGGAGACGCCCAAGATCCCTTGGGCATGTCTGCACTGTGCTCCTGATCACTCCACCAGGAAGGTTTACTGAGCTGGATCCATGAATTCACATAGTGCTATGACTGACCTCACAAGCTTATAAAATGTATAAATAAAAAATATAAAAATATAACATATAAAAATATAAGAGATAAAATATAGACTTCTATCAATAATATATGTATAATATACGCCAATACACAATATAGACATACTATGTAATAATATATAATTTTAATATGATATATAATTAAATAATGCATAGAATAGCTTATAAATATATATTTTATATAGAAAAATTGTAATTATTTATTTATATGTTATATATTACCTATGTTATATATCCTTTTATAGATAGATAATATAATACAAGGTTATAGGAATAACCTGCATCCATATGGAAAGAGTGCACAGGAGGCACTTTTCAGGTGTAGGCAGCTTCAGACTGGCACTGCCAGACTCAAACTGTCTAAAGTGTCTCCAGGGACACCACTAGGTTCTAAGGTGCCAGTACAACGCTACAAATAGGATTTTTGGAAACACTTGGGAAAAAAAGTTTTGGGTATGTGGAGCTAACGAGTAACCCAGACGGTTAATACAGAATCAACAGCAATTATACAAGTGCTGAAACACTCCTGAGCTTTCCTCAATTCCCTCCAACGCTCCTGAACATGATTCATGGAAGCAGGCAGCCACCACCTCACAGAAATAACTGAAAATAAAACTTTATGACGCATTTACAGGGCTGTTTCCAGCCTGGATCAGCTCAATGCATTTCCATCCTGTTTCTGCGAACGGGAGCACAGGAGCCACCCCGCTCCCGTCCCGGGAATGTTAATGCTGCCAGCAAGACCATCCCGCGGTGAAAGGGGATCTTCCCCGAGCCCCTCCAGCCTCTCCAGTGCCCGGAGACACTTTAGGGGAGGAGAGGAAACGCGAGTCTTTTCGCTTCTCTAAGGGAAGCTGGAGGGAGCCTGGGGGCAGCAGCGTGGCGAATACTTCCTCTGATGAGATAAACGCGTAAAATAAAATAAATAAAAAAAAAAAAAAAAAAAGAGGAAAAATCAAATAAATAAATAAATAAATAAATAAATAAATAAATAAATAAAGGAAGGAAGAGCAACGAAAAGAACCCACAGGAGGCGGGTCCCGGCTCTCCGCACACACGTGGTTCCCTCCCCATCCCGTCCGGCACCGGGGCCGGTCCCAGACCCCTGTCCCGGTCCCAGATCCTTGTCCCGGTTCCAGATCCTCATCCCGCTCCTTGCCGCGGTCCCCCCCTCATCCCCCGGGCCGTACCGGCGAGGCGCTGGGTCCGCACCCCGATGTAGCCCCGCAGCTTTTTGAGGGCGCGGTCCCGGATGCGCTTCTCGTTGGCGGCCAAGCGCTGCGCGAACTGCACCTCTGGCGGCTGCACGGCGGCGGGAGCCATGGCCGGCCAGAGCCCCTGTCCCCGTCCCGTGGCTGCCCCGGCCCAGCCCGTCCTGCCCGCGGCCCCCCGGGCTCCGCCTGATGCCGTCACGGGCACCGCGCTCTGCCGTCACCGCGGGGAAGGCGGAGCGCCGGGATGGGCGCCGGGATGGGCGCCGGGAACGCTCCCGGGAGCGCCACGGAAGGTTCGGGAGCTCAGCGGGGCGGCGACACGGGAGGAGCCCCCACGGGATCATTTAGGTTGGAAAAGAGCTCTGAGGTCATGGGGTCCGACGTGTGACTGATCAAGCACCTTGTCAGCCAGACCGTGGCACGGGAGAGCCACGTGCAGGCGTTTCTTGAACGTCTCCAAGGACGGGGACTCCAGCACCTCCCTGGGCTGCGCATTCCAATGTTTAATCACCTTCTCTGTGAAAAAATTCTTCCTAGTGTCCAAACTGAGCTTTCCCTAGCCCAGCTTAAGGCTGTGTCCTCTCATCCTGTCGCTGGTTGCCTGGGAGAAGAGACCAACCCCCACCTGGCTACAACCTCCTCTCAGGTAGTTGTGGGGAGCCATACGGTCCCCCCTGAGCCTCCTCTTCTCCAGGTTAAGCACACCCAGCTCCCTCAGCGGCTCCTCATCAGGTTTGCGCTCCAGACCCTTCACTAGCTCCGTTGCATTTCTCTGGAGTTGCTCCAGCACCTCGGTGTCGTTCCTGAATTGGGAGGCTCAGAACTGGATACAGAGCTCGAGGTGTGGCCTCACCACCGCCGTGCACAGGGGCACAATCACTGTGCTGCTCTTGCTTGTCACACTTACACAGGCCGGGATGCCACTGGCCTTTTTGGCCACCTGGGCACACTCTGGCTCCTGTTCTGCTGGATTTACTGCGGGTACGCTCGATGATGTCACCCGCCAACACAGCGACAACGCAGCACGGCCAACCTCCCGTTCCCCGTGTTATCCCGGTCTTATCCCGGTGTTTCCCGGGGCCCCTCCCCCCGGGGTCGGGGGGCGGAGCCTGCCTGGAGACCACGCCCATCTCACGCACATGGCCCCGCCCACTCAGCCGAGGGGGCGTGGTCACGGCGCGGCCTGTCCCGCCCTCAGTCCCTCCCGTCCCGCCCCCCCGAGGCTCTGTCGCCGCTGTCGCCTCTATCGCGATGTGGCGCTACGCCGGCCTCGCTGGCGACGCGCAGGTATCGCGAGCGGCCCGCCCGGCGCATGGGCCCGGCCCGGGGGTCGCTGCGGGGTGACCCTGCAGGGGTTTTGGGGGGTTTGTGGCGTCCCGGGCCTTGTGGGGCCCTGAGGGGCCGCGGGGACAGGGGAGCGCGGTGGGGGCTGTGGAGCGGTGCCGGTGGCACCCTGGGGTGGTGGGGGGTGAGTGGAGAAAGGGCTGGCAGCGATTCCATGCCGGGTGTTCATCGCCAGCTGGGATCTGCTCAGATCCCACTGAGAGGTGGGGAAGGGGAATTCCCTTCAGTGGGAGCTCTGCCCTGTTCAGATCCCACTGCCAGACAGGGAAGGGGGATTCCCTTCACCGGGTTCACACCACGCAGGTCGTGACCTCAGGTGCATGACTGAGTAACTTGACCCTCGTGGAAGAGCTCTGGGAGGACTGGAGTCAAATCCAGGCACCTGGTGTTCCTGTGAGAACTCGGCACAAAACTCCTCCGTTGTCTGTATTTGCTTCTAACACACTGTTGTAGTGCAGGGAGATGCTTAGAAAATAAAGCTTGTCCATTGGAGCTGCAGTACTGCAAAAATCTTTGCTTGCAGTGGGAACTGTAAATGAGAACTTTCTCCTTGCCATATATTTCCTATCTCCATCGCAGTACTTCACAGTGTATTTGGTTTGAATTTAGCTTCTGCAGGTGAACAGAGCTGTTTCTATGCTTTTAAGCCCCAAATTGTGCTGCCTCATTCTGAGCAGTACTGAATTGTCTCTGTCCTTCGTGGTTGCTGACACGCAGATGGTTTTCCTCTATAAAATCCCATTGCCACATTCTTATTCCATGCTTTCATGAGACACAAACGAGTTGCATTTTTCTTGAGTCACGTCACGTGGTGTTGGTATTTGACCCTACTCACTTGGCCAAAAGCACTTCCCAAGTGCAACTTAGAACACGTAATTCCAGTTGAAAGCAAAGAACCCTGAGTTTTAGTCAAAACACATTAAAAACCTTGTGTATGTTGGTAGCATTTTTAAGATCCAGCAGTGTGCACATGTACGTACATCAGAACATAAAGTTTAGGAGCTTTTTGGTACAGAAGTTGTATAATCTTGTAAACTGTAAAATCTATAATTTTAAGGTTAGCACACATTCTATTGGAATATGGAAACAAAATTATTTTAAAGCAATAGCTTGGAAGAAGAGGAAACCGGTAAACATTTTCTGTCTTACCTTGGGTTCAAATTATTTATGTGAGATTTGTTTGCAAATGGCTGCGCATAATCTTTGCTCCTCACAAAAGATAAATTTATTTGAAAAAGTACCATTTCCTCCAAAAGAGTTGTTGTAATTTAGGACTGGGGATCTTGCAAATATTTGAATTAATTAAAAAACTGAGTTATTGCATCCTTTGCAACAGTCGTGAAACAACAGTTTGGCACATGAATAGCTGCTCACATTTTAAAATGTGAGTTAATTTTTTGCAGCACTCTGGGGTACATTGCACAAATTTTGGGTGAAGAAGCAGACACAGAGGGGTAATGTAGCTTTAGGCCAGAATGGCAAAAATTAAGTTATAGCAAAGGGTCCATCTCAGAGACTTTTGGGTTTAATTACTGGACCGTTCTCTTTTAAAAGGTTATGAACTTCTGAGATTATGTCACACAGAGGAATATTGTTGTCATAGAAAACAGATTCAAGCAGAAAAGCACTGCAAGGCTGTAACAGAGTCTTTGGTCCTTGGTTTCTTTGTTTTTGTTTTGTTTTGTTGTTTTATTTCAGAAGGCTGAGACCAAAGAGGAATTTGTTCAAGTCAGAAGGAGGGATTTGGAAAGGCTGACAACTGAGGTTATGCAACTGCGGGATTTCTTACCCAAAATAGTGAATGGAGATATCCTGGGGACACTCCAGAAACTGGATGCTATTGAATCAAGTGAGTAGTACCATGTTACAGTCTCTTACAGCTTCTGCCTAAACTGCTTAGAACAAACTGCTGTGCCCCTAGAAATAGTTGTAGAGTTTGTGGAATTATTCCGGATTAAACTGTGCTGTTCAGTGGCTGCTTCAGCAAATTAACCTGTCTGTAGTGAAGGAAATTACAGACTGCATTAGAAATAATCAAACATGTCAAATTAATCTTTAAAAATATTTTACTGTGGATAAAAACATACTTGAGACAGGAAGGGGAGCTGTATCAGGGAAAAAATGTTTTCACTTTGAGAGAAGGTGAAAGCATTCTGGTTTTCAAAAAACCACTTTGCACAGAAAAATAAAAACAAAAAATCATGGTAAATAGCAATGGATAAAAAGTTAGAGACAACATCACTGTATTTGGTATATCTTATTTTTTGGTGTGCATATTGTTATTGCTATAAATATTAATAATATAAAAAAAAGGTGAAGACTGTAATAAAAGTGTTTTTACTGCTGTCCCCAAAGACAGTTGCTCAGTGTCATGTTTCTCTATGCATTATGTTTTTAACAATTGCACCATTCCTAACATGCCATGAGGACCAAACTGGAGTCAGCTCCAACCCTAACCTGTAGCTTCCATGCAGCTGTACAATTCAGCTGTTATCCTAGGAGCTGGTTTTGCCTGAAAAGGCACAGGACAAGCACTGAGACAGATTACAGTGTTGTCTCTTCTAGAATATCAAGTGATAAATGGAAAATTAATTTGCTACAGCTAGCTAGGAAAGAGTAAGATAGAGCCCCAGGGCCTGTCTCTGACCAAGCAACACTGGGGCAGAACTTCCAGCTGCCTCAGTGAGCCATACTTTGGAAAGATTCTTCCATGCCATCAAATCCTAGCAAAGATGGGAAGGTTGCACCACCTCTCCTGCTGCTAGCTGACATGTCATCCCTGTCACAAGCAGAGATGTAGGATCTGGAACTGTTCTCTTTGTGCTGTTGCAAGGCCTCAAGAACTTGTTTCCAGTTGCATTAAGTGTTCAAGATCCTCAACTAAGTCAGATCCTTCTTTTTACCTAGTTATTTCTCTTTCATTTCTCTCACTGATCCTTCTTGCGCCCCTTGTGCCAGGCATCAAGGAGACATTGTCAGGGTCCTCTAGCAGCAGGTTTGTGGAATCAACAGGGGGATTTTAAGACTTCTTTAAATGAAGAATTAAGACTCTTGCAGAAGCCTAGTGTGTGTGATTTGTGCATCTCTCTACAGACTTTTATCTGCTGTTGCAGTTTTCCAAGTGCTGTGAACACAAAGTTCCTCCTCTTCTTGGCATGTTCCTCAAGAAGTACAGATTATAATCAGAGACTTTCAACACCTCTGGCCCATTTGGTTGTGAGACAGATGAAGTCTTGAATAGCTTTAAGAAACCTTGAGATCTTTGCATGTTTTACTGGTGTGTCTGGGTCAGTAGGACACCCATTTCCTATGGGAGCTTCTCCTGAGTGGTGTCTGAGATCTGAGCTGGCAGTGCTTGGTGCAGCCAACACCTACTTTTCAGGCTGATGTCAAGGTCTTCATAAGGGTTTTGCCAGGGTAATTGTTCATTTCAAAAAGAAAGATTCTGTTTTGTTCTGGCTACCCTCCTCAGGGAGAGTGTTTGGCTCCAGGAAATTTAGAGAAACAGCTCCAAAAATCTTTCTGTGTTATTACGTTCAGTGGAACATAAGGATGGTGCCTAACTCTTTTCGGTGGTGTCCAGCGACAGGATGAGGAGCAATGGCCGTAAACTAAAACACAAGAAGTTCCACCTCAACATGAAGAAGGAATTTTTTACTTTGAAGGTGGCAGAGCACTGGAATAGGTTTTAAAGAGAGCTTGTGGAGTCTCCCGCTCTGGAGACATTCCAAACACACCTGGACGTGTTCCTGTGTCACCCGCTCCAGGTCTTCCTGCCTTGGCAGGGGTTGAACTGGATGATCTCCTGAGGAACCTCCCAATCCTGACTATTCTGTGATTCTGGGAACTCAGTCCACTGGGGAAGTGTTAAAAATAGCATTTAACATAGATCCAGCTTTTGGATCAGTAGGATTGGAATTCCATCACTTGTCAGCATTCATCCTAATTGCATCTGGTTCTCCACATCCCAGAGCTTTGAGACTCGATCTCTGGTCCAGAAAATCTCTCCTGCATGGTTGAGAATGAGTCAACCTCACACCTGAAATGTGGCCTCCTCTTCTTTCTTGTTCCCAGTGCCTTGTTCTGCTGTTGAGTCTCCGTCTGTCTCAGGAGCAAATGCCACTTCTTTCCAGAGCCTGATTTACCACTGCAGTGGTGAAGTTACATATTTCCTCTTGGTATAAGGATTCCATTTCGTATTTGTTTGCTCACCCAAGCTGATAGTGAAAGCTGCTTCTTCCTCTTCAGAGCAAAGGCACAGCTGGGAGGGCTGACTGGGCATAGTAGGGGAGTTTCCAGGAATGAGGCACAGACAGAAGTAGGACTCTTTTCAGCAGCTTCCAATATTATCCTTCTTTTTTTCCTGCAACATAAAACATCATGATACCTTAGAGGATGTTGACACATCCTTTTTTATCTGAAGGACTTTTAAAAATACAGGTTGCATTGTGTTAACACTCAGTAGTTAATACTATTCGCCTTCTGGCTCAGGTTTTGTTCCAGGACCTTTGAAGTCTGACAGTGAAGGATGTGGCACCTTTGTGTGTTTGCTGGCTGGATTTAGTTTGGATCCATCCTCTCAAAGGCTGGAAGTTATTCTTCTCTTTCAGGAAATCTTGTTTCCTTGCAGGGACAAGAGATTTTCACTGAATGTACCTGAGCAGAATAAACAGGTTCTTGGCTGCTATTGATGAGCAGGTTCACTCAGGCTCAAAACGTCTTTCTGTCAGCTACTTAAGACTCACACCCACACAGTCAGAGGTGGATAAGACCGATTTTTGGATAATTTTTAAATGATGTTGTCTTTTTATGATTGAATTCGATATGATTTCTGGTAACTACATTAAAAAGTATTGACCACATGTAAAGGGAAGTATGTGAAGCGTTAAGGCATAGACCAAACTGTCAAGATCAAGTGTATGGTGCTCAAAATGGGCTGTAATTAGTGTTGGTTTTTTTTTTTTAAGCTAACCAAAATTACAGTAGATGCTGTTTGGACATTTCTTTTTGGAACTACTTAAATGTATTTCCTTTTTTTTCAGTATAAATATTAATCATCCAGGACTATGGCATTTAAAGTGAAATAGAATACACAACTATTGTTAAAAATATCCCTCCAAGTGAATTTTTTTAAAACTGGCACCATGATGGTGAAATAGACTTTTAACTTGATTTCTGTTCACTAAAATAAAGTGTCTAAGTTGGAATGTATTTCTGGTAACATCAAAAATTAACTTTTTTAAGGGAATCATAAATTTTGCTTATGTTTAAACAGTTTATAAAATCACATTATAAAAAGTTTATAAAATTATGGTTTGGGTTGGAAAGGATCTTAAAAGCCATCCAGTTCCATCACCCTGCCATAGGCAGGAACATCTTTCACTAGACCAGGTTACTTATAATATTTTATAAACATTAATTTAAAATGTCTTGATTATTTGCATTTCGTTCTCACTGTTTATAGAAATTGTATGTTATATATTGAAACACACACTTTTGACTGATCTTGGTGTTTTTCTTAGGTTTTCAGTATACTCTCTGAATTGAGTGAAATTTCACCCACTGAATTTTCACGAAAACCGTCATTTAAAACAAAGCAGAAAACTGTGTAAATTTCGATAAACATTATCAGCACACAGTATTTTTCAGCTAGATGCGATTATTTCAGTCTTTCCCCGTTTTAAACGAGAAACATGTTCGTTTACTTGCTCGGAACCGTTGTGAGATCCCCAGTTTAGCCACGGGGAGGTGATCTCGCACAAGCAAACAGCCACAGCACCTCGGGAGAGCTGCACTCGGTGGATTCTCTTTGCCTTAGCGCAGACCCTTGGTCGTAATGTGTCACTTCGTTTATCTTGATTTATCCTGCCACAGACCTGGAGAAAAAGGAGGAGGAAGTTCAGCAGCTGAGAATGGATTGTGAACACTTCAAAGCCCGTCTGGAAGCAGCTCAGGCAGATTGCATGAGAGAGAAGAAGGTAGATGTGCTGCCAGAATATTGGTGTCTGTGTGCTTGAGTTTTCATGATAAAAGCAGTAATTATTGTTTTTTTAATGTTCATGTCACAGAATAAATCCTCAGTCCAAAGAACAATTTGGGATTTTTATCCATATAGTCAGGTGGTGAGGAAATTATAACCTACAAGTTCTTAACTCAGGGGTTTTTCCCCTCTTGGTATTTCCAGAGCAAATATAGTCAAAATATAGTAGAATTTAGTCCCAAAAAGTAGTCAAAGTGTACAAACAGAGGAACCACTGAGGTACAAAACTCCTGCATACCTGCATGAATCTCTCACAGTCCATACTATGTGGGGTGTGGTTTATGGGGTCAAAATCCAAGTTCTTGGCAGGGTTTGTTTTGGTGGATGTGACTTTAAAAACCAAGCACTTGGTTTATATGAACATGCTGAAGTAAAACATTGGGTATTTGGGAAGACTGTGGTATAGCTGGCATGAAAATGTGCTTCACAGAATCAGTTCTTTTGACTTTAATGTAACTATACAGTATTTTCAAAGAGGACAATGGAAGATAATTTAAGCAATGCAAGGTACAGAATGAAACCAACCTCTCTTTTGGCTTCCTGTGAGCTATGCACCTTTTTTTTTTCGCTGTTAATAGTCTTTCTCAGTGCACATATTGATCCAATTGCCATGTACATCTGTGAATCAAAGAGCAATTACAGGGCTCCTTTTGCTCTGTCAATATTGTATTTAGTGATTATGAGAGAGGAGATTCTGTACAATGAAGGAATAACAAAGGCAGTGACTTCTCTGATTGTGGGTCTTCTGTGAAGCAATTGGGGTTCAAGTGGGTGTCTGTGAGAATCAGTGGTGATCGTTTGCTGCAAAGGATCATTTCCTTGGAGCCATCTTCAGCAGGAGCTCATGTTGTTGGAGTTCTGCAGCTGGCATTTGCCAGCCTTGGGATTGCACAGAGATAGATGAATCTGCAGAAATTATTTCATTTTTGGAAAGGAATAAATGAAGAGTTTGGACATGTAGTTTTAGTGAACTTCTGCATGGGCAGGTCATTCTGGAATGAAGTTTGGTCCGATGGAATAGTTGTCTATCTGGATATTCCTTCAAAGCAGGGATAGCTGTTGCAGTTCAGCAATAGGCAGTTTTGCTGTGCACCCACATCTTCAGCTGTGTAAGCACTCGGGATAAAACCCCTGTGAGACTCTGTGTTGCTGCTTTAGATATTAATGAAGTGGGTCCCTCTCCCATTATTCTTGTTAATACTACAAAACAAATGGCAGGTGGTTTGGGTTTGTGTTTTCTTTTGGATGAGTTTTACTTAAAGCATGGATGGAGTAGTTGTTTTGGTGTTCCTGATCAAAGCTCTTCGCGTCTTTGCTGTTGTGCAGTGTATGCCCTTGCCTAAATGGGTTCTGTTATGTGCCAGGAAGGTGTATTTGTCTGTGTGGATTGTGCTGATGACGTTGTGAAGTCCTTTAGCTCTTCAGGGTACAAGAAGATGGTGTGTGTGTATATGTGTGATTTTTATTCCTGTTAATCACTTTCCTGGTGTTTTTCATTTGGTTGCTGTTCTGCTATAGGCATCCTTGCATAAAGTTTCTGAACTATTTGCTGCATGTTCATCTTCTGAAGGAAAAGGAAATGATTCACTGAAACCAACATAAAGTAAATGCATTTTCTGGTTGAGAAGTGTCCTTTTCTGAGGCCATCATAAATCAACATTTTTGCATTCCAAAATCTCTGTGCAGAGCTGGATCACTGATTAGGGAGTTGCTGTGCTTTCTGAACCTGAGCAAAACTCGAAGTGCATGTGTTATCCTTGTCTGATGTCTTCTCTGTCTGTCCTTTTGTAGTTCCTTACTTGGGCACTGCTGTGTTCTTGTGCCTTGCCCCTTTCCTGAAGATGGTGGTGTTGCACAGCACAGGGATTGGGTTGTGATGTGAACTCTCACGAGTGTTGCTTCCAGTTGGTTATTTGCTTTTTCAGGCTCCGTTTATTTTCCTGGCTCCTGAATGTACTATTTTGTTTCCCTTGCCTCATATCTTTGTTCTGATGCTGCTTTTGATCTATTAAAAATTCTGGCATTTCTTGTGCTGGCTTTGCGTCCTTGCTGGGGGATATAGCTTTGGTATTTATTGTGTTTTATGTCTTACTATTCAGTGTTAGCATCCAAATGCAAAATGCAAATAAAATGTATTAAAGATACATTTTCCTAAGAAAAGGACAGTGCAGGAAAGACAGGAAGAATATAGGGATTAGGTAGGAAGATGCCTGTAGACATTTTGTTGATGCATATTGTGGCAGCAAAGTTGATAGGCCTGGCAGTGAGTGATGTAAAAGACAGAATCTGGCCAACTTACTTAAAAACGATCAAAGTATTAAGAAATAAGAGACTTTTCCCGGGAGGCTCTGCCTGTGGAATCACCAGCAAGTGTCAGTCTTTTGCATGTGTTAATCTGTAAGGTGAAAGAGACCCCAGAGAGTAAATATGCACAGAAATCTACTTGATAAATTTAATTTGAACTTTACAAATCCTCACCTGCGTGTTCCATTAGCAGCACGATAAAGCAGCGCAAATCAGGCTGTCAAGTGTGATCAGGGGGCTCAGCAGGTAATTGCTGACAGACAGAGAACAGGCAGCTTCGTGCTGGTTGATACCACATTACATAAATTTGCAGGTGAGTTTACATTTCTGTTCTTTCCAAACCCTCACACAAAACATTGAGGTGAACCCCCAAAATTACAAGGCATTGATTTTAAAAACTTGATGACAATATACGGTTGAAAGTCGTGTTCTGTTCAGGTGCTTTAAGAGTTTACACAGAAAAGAATCCTTCTCATTTCTCACATCCTGATATCCAAACATGCTGAGCTGAGGAAGGTGTTTCCTGTGGTGAATCTGAAAATCCCGTGTCTATAAAGGGGGCCAAGTAAGATTCTTCTGTTCTTTTGATGTTGTGTGATCTGCAAATCTCTCTCTTTCTCTCTCTCTTCTAATATGTGAATTAGCATCATTTTTCTTGACTGGCCTTTGTCTTTCCATCATCGCTGTCTAAACCCACCCTACTTGCAGGTAGTAGGGAGCTCCCATCCACCCTGAGAAATCACAAACTGCAGAATCCCTGCCTGGCTCTCCCTGTCTGTGCTGGCTCTAAGCTGAGAAGTGCATCAGCTTCTCTACCCCTGTGGCAGTTGTTTGGAAACCAGTGAGACCTAGAATCATACCCAGTCTCAGGATATTTTTCCAGACAGCTTCCCGTGTGATTGGGAAAAAGTCCTGCCAAATTGAAACTGTGCTCTGGTCATGTAGGGTTGGTCACTTCTCTCTTTATGCTTTGTGGCAAGAACCACTGAACAGTTCACTTAGGTGATGATAGAATCATAAAATCACAGAATAGTTTGGGTTGCAAGGTACCTTTAAGAATCATCCAGTTCCAGTCCTCTTGCCATGGGCAGGGACACCTTCCTCTAGACCAGGTGGCTCAGACTCCCATCCAACCTGATAGATGCACAGTGGTGCCTCAGTTTTCTTGATATGAAGGGCCCTCCAAACTTCAAACCTTAGATATGTTTTTCCAGGGAGTCTGTGTTACTTTACTGATCAGGAATATGCCAATAGAAAAAGGTTGGAGGAGACAACAGTATTTATCCTAGGTATCCAGCCATGTTGGCTAAAGCAGTTCTGAAAACAGAGCAACCCTCCCTTCCTGTAAGACGTGTTCAGTATCTCTTGTAAGGTGCCAGGGAAGGCTGTCCCCTGATGCTGAAATCCCCTCTCTCCTGAGGAGACATGGAGCTGTTTGCTCAGGAGGAGATGACTCTCCTATCAGGCTTCTCTGGGTGCCACTCAGTCTCAGAGGGTCACTTGGTTTGACCTTGTGGACAGGCTTCTGGATCCTGTCAGCCTGCACAGAGCCCTGGCTGCTTAGGCACAGCTCAGGGGAGAAGGTACATGTCTGCCACTGCTCTGGGTGCCCCTCCATTTCAGCCCTGATTTCTCATTCTGTCCCTTAGCCTGGAAACTTGTGGCTGATATGAAGTGCAACCAAAATTTCCTTGCGCTGTTCCAGGAGAAGCTGGACCTGCGGCAGCAGCTGAACGAGGCCAAGCAGCAGCTCCTGCAGCAGGCAGAGTATTGCACAGAGATGGGGGCTGCTGTTTGCACCTTGCTCTGGGGGGTGTCCAGCAACGAGGAGGCTGTGAAAACCATTCTAGGAGGAGTAAGTATGGCAGGTGAATGCTGACCCCTGGTAGTGCTGTCAGGCCTTTCAAATAAGGACCTTGCTGCGTGTCACACTCTCAGGATATATTTCAGCATGTTTTCTGGTTTGCATGCTCGTCCATTCTCATTTAAGAATTGTTGGAGTTAGGGAGTGTTATGAATAAATTCTCACGTTTCCAAACAAGGGGTTTTCTGTTTTCCACCACATACAGTTGAACTGGAAGCAAGGCTACAGCCAGCACAATGTAATTATCTTCACGAGCTAACAGAAGGAGAAAATAATTCCTGGGCACATGCAGGAGTTTCCATGCCTGTAGGGAGCTCGGAGGAGCTATTTCCATGGAAGGAAGACAGATCCATTGATTCCCAACTTACTTTAAGTGTTTGTGCTGCCTTAATACTTGCATGACTCTTGGAAATTAAGAGAGCCTTGCTGCTAGTGGATCTGAATAAATCTTCAATGTTAAAGCTGGACAGGTAGATTATTTAAAAAAAAAAAAAAACAAAAAAACCAACCAAACAACAGTTGATGACAGTGGCAGTATTACAGCTAACACAGTTTCACTGCCAAGTACAGCTGATGGAATTAGGAGTGATCAGAGGAGCAAGCCTGATAAAAATATGATTTTCATTCCTGACACAGCCAACATGAGAAGGAATTGCTGTATTTAATCTGAGTGAACCAAAGCCACTATTTCTTCTGGCTTGATTTTTCAGCAGCACGATGAGCAGCTGAGTGAACAGGATTAGTTCATTATAGTAAAGTAGTGTGTTTGTAGAAGCTGTTCTAGTTTGGATGCACCAAAACGCAGTTACAACAATATTGGATATTAGAAAGCTGTACAGTGATGCCTTTTGGTGATAACTTCTGATGATTCAAAATCCAAGCAGCAACAGTTACTAAGGGAAAAAAGTCTCCAAAACCACCATATGAAGCAGATAAATTTTAAAACAAAAGGCAGGTTGTTGAAAGCAGTCTTAGGTATCAAAATTCAGTAGAATTAGGCAAAAACAAAACTTTTACCTGAAGATTTGTATAAAGGTAAAGATCATAACTGTGAAGATGCAATACTTTGGGGTTTAGGTTGGTTTGAAATGCAAAATACTTATGTAGTTGTTTCCAGCAACCATTAGAGCTTGTTGAACTGCTGTACTTCTGGTGAAGCTCATGGCAACATTTCTGGGCTTCATTTTCTTATGATGGTGCACACAACGTGGTAAAAAACGTGCCCGGGTTTGCAACAAGACTACCTGGAAAACCTAAATGGACCATGTGGCATTGTGTCAACCACAGATTACAACTGGCAATGAGTCAGGTCATTAAAAGATGATGGGACATTTGTCATACAAAGTTTTTTGTTTGGGTTGTTTTGGGACAAGTTTTACAGCCTGAAGCATCTTCCCCCTCCTCTGAGAAGGTGCCATGAACTACAGAAAAGGGGGAGGACATCAAGAGTGCTTTGAAACAGATGCTGATGTTTGAGCACGTGGGGAAGGCGGCATCAGTTCAGAATCATTTCAGGCCTTAGGGAACAATGCCCAAGCTTTTTTTTTTGGTATTTGCAGCAATACAGAAGTAGGTGTTTCTTACAGTCCTACCATGCAAGTGTCAGTGACCAGTACACCATTTGTGTCCACGTGGGCTGGGAAAATCAAAACTCAAGCAGCAGATTTGAAATGTGACACAACTAAGTTTTTAAGCCACTGGGGGCTGTTTCTGCCCCTGTGTGATGTTCCTAGAGAGAACTTAAAGAAACATCCAGAGAAGCAGCATGAGAGTGAGTTCTCAAGGTTTCCTACCTGCATGTGCCAAAAAAGAAGTAAATTGATCCCCATGACATCGTTTCAGATGTCTTTCAAAAAGCTGCAACCAGATATGACGACGTTCTCGCATGGAAATGCAGCCTGAAGGTTTGATTTCAGAATGACATCAAGGTTTGCTTCAGGTTGAGAGATTTGGGATCCTGCAGGGTGTTCTGCTACTTCATTTGTCTGCTGTGGTGACAAATGATTTTATGGCAGCAGTTTTATTAACTGGTGATTTCACACAGGAGTTACATAGACAGCAAAGGGTTCATGCACCATTTGAGCTCAAGCACCTTCATGGCTGCTCTCAGAACCGCCCCTATCTCTGTGTCTGTGAGTGAGACATTCTTCAGTCCCATGAAGATACTGTCAAGCTAATAAGATGCTGTGCAGAGTATGCAATGTTTGCTATTTATAAACCTCATGGGTCTCTGCTGCAGCTCCTCAGACCTCAGCACTAGTGAAGTAATGGCTATTTGGACAAGAGGTTCAGCAGAGGGGACGCCAGTGGCACCTCAGGAGATCAGCAGAGAAGGTTTTCCTTGTTTTCTGTGCAAAATAACAACTACTCAGTGTGCTGATTGCTCTCTTATGTTCCCATGTGAAGCTGTATTTTCGTCATAGGCTCTCTTCATTTTCTCTCTCACCTTCTGCTTCTTGAACTGTGGTCACTGCTTGCATTAAAATTGGCATCTTTGAGATGTGGTGACCATATAAGTATAAAAACTACATCCAGCACATGCAGAAGTGCAGTTGTTTCCATCGTCTTTGCCCATAATCCCTTCATTCCCGTTACTCTGGGACCGCAGCATCACTTCTGAAGATACTGAGTGTTGGCCGAGCCTGCTTTTTGTATCCTGTTTCTCCTGGAGTCACTCCACGGCAACTGAACATCTCTGATGTGGTGAATTTGCAGCAGTGGAGGAATAAATAAATGTTACCAGTAGCTTTGCATGTGTTGTGAAAGCAGTAATTTTGAAAAGGTATTAAAATTTTCAGTGGCTTTGCAAAATGAATAAAAGTTCAGGCATTTCTTGAACTGTTCCATTGGATCACAGCTGGGAATGACTAAAAGTTTCAGCTGCTTCATGAAACAGATGGAAAAATTAATAAAGACACCGGGAAACCCAGCATTATGGGCTCTCTGCTGCACTGTTTTGGTTTTGAAAACCTTCATACTCTGTATGAAGTAGCATTCCAACAGTGTTTTACTGGTCAGGATTACCAGTAAGCAGAAACAGGTCCCTCCATCCGTCTCTCTGGACTCTGCATCTCTGGCCAAGCTCTTTGACCTTCCCTGAGCTTTGTACCAAGTGGCTGCTTCCTCACCTGAGACATGGAAATGTAGCAGTATTCCAGCTGAGGGGAAGAGATGGTGACGTAACTACAGCCTGTACTCCTGTTTATGTGCTCTGATGGCATGATGATCTTTATCACATGACACTGGTGACTTGAATTCAACCTGTGACCCAAGAGAGACCTCCATTTCCCTTTCTAAAGCACTTCTGCCTTCAGTTCTTACCTTTTTTTCTGGATGCTTCATTGATTATCTTAGGAATTTCATGTTAAGTCTCCAGTCTTCATCTGGTTTTGACAAAAGCTACTGTAATAGCTCAGGTAAATGTGAAACACCTGGTGCAGCTACTACAAGGCCAAGAGATAATAGTCTCACTTTTGAAAATAAGCTTTAATTCTGCTGGTTTATATATATATTGTAGGGTTAGGAGGTAAATATGCAGTGGTCTAGTTTTATAAGTAAATGTAGCATTGAGCAGTTTCACCATTTTCTTCTGAGGTAATTGTTTCAAATTTAGGGGATCGGTCATCATTTAGTGAATATCTGGTGTTTTCTGTTGGTTTTTGGAGTAACTGGATGTGTAAATAATTTGGAAGATGGTCCAGTTTTACTGTAGGATCTAATAATTACTATTTGCTGTGGTGTGTGTAACCTTTTTTCTCTTCCACGCTTGCAGAGTAAAGCAGCAAAGTTTTTCACAATCACTGCCCAGACCATGGAGAGCTTTGTGAAGTCATTAAGTGAAGACATGAAACAGCAGGATTTGGATTCTGATGAAAATCAGTTTGTATTAGCCTTGGCAGGGATTGTAACAAGTAAGTTCACGTTGTCCCTCAGAACAGCATTCCACGTGTACTGGGAATCTCTGTTGCCTCAAAGAAGCTGCAGTAAATAGAGAGCTTTTCAAAGTTAAGTATTTAGTCAGTGTTCTTTTAGAGTTCCAGCAAATTTTGTTACTAATGCTTCTGTGAGGAGGCTCTGTGCTGTCTGTGACACTGTTAAGGATTAAATGGGTAAGAGCCATTGAATTCTGAAATTCCTGTTTAATCTGGAGTGAAACAAGGAGCATTCTGCTGGTCTTGCATGGTCTCCTTCATTTGTAAATGTCAAGCAATTTGCTTTCTGAATTGCCAGTAATGCCAACACCCTCAAGATGTATGGATTGCAGATGGTGTGAGTAGATCAGCCCCAGTTTAAGGTATGGACTAAGTATTTTGAAACTGCTTAAATGTTTTGTTGCTGTCAGATGGATCATACCTTTGCTGTCCTGAGAGAAGTAAAAGGTAATAAACCTGACTCCCATGCTAAGTGTTTCTTTTTAGGGCCAGAAAATAAGTAGAAAGCCACAGATCTGTCATAGTATGACGCCCCTTGGCTTGGAAGGCTGTGAGAAGTAGGGTTGATGCATCATCTGTATTTTTGTGAAACGGCGTAACCATTGAAATGCCACTAATGACATGATGCAAGATAGATGAAGCAGTGGTTATTTATACAAATAAGTGAATCTTGCATGAGTAACTTTTCTGAATGTGTGATTTTTAGCTGTTGCAGTGCCATTAAAGACTGTGATAAAATCAGTATGTGATGCATTATGCCACTGTACCGAGGAGGAATCCAATTCTCTCAAATTGCTTCATTGGAGGGGGAGGGAAGGCACAGCAAAAGTAATGTCTGAAAAAAGAAAGTGTTTAAAGACCGGGTGGGAGAGGTGAGGAGGGGAAGTAGGGGTTCCATCTGAGGACGAATCAGGCACAGGAACCTGTTTAGTCTCCTGCACCAGGTACCTGGTTTCCAGGCTCTGTCACTAGTTACCTACGCTTGTGCCTCATGGCTTTGGAGGAGGCTTGGCCAGTTGCACATGTGTGCGACGGAGCTCGGGCTGCTGGAAGATGCCTCTTGCACATAAGGATGCCCTAAAGTGTGGGGCAGGTGTAAGGGAAAAATACCAGTGGCAAGTCTGCTTTGGAGCAGTAGCCTTTGGACATAATTTTGTTTTCTGCTTCGTGCTTGAACAATGCCACACTTGCAGAGAGGTAGGAAAAGGGCTTTGGTTGTGTAATGTGCCGGGGATACTGAATCAAGCAATTGTAAGACAATCTGCAATCATCTCGATTCTTTGAAGTGGAACCTGTAATGGTCAGCTGTGCTTCAGTTCCACGTCATTTGCAGGTGAATAGAGCCTTTTGTTCCATAATTCCCCGTGTTGCTATTAGGACACCGGCCATTCCGAATAAATGTTTTAATTACCGAAGCAGAATTAGAAAGGAGCTCAACCAGTGTAACTTGCTGCTTCAGTATTTGCTATACATGTGAATGTAGTTCGAAGTTTATGTAAATGCCATGGTTCATTCCTCACAGCAGCATATCTTTTTAGCAGTCCTGATAATTGCCATAAACCTTTGTTTGAAACATGTTTTTTAAGGTGCTGCTTTGTGCTCTCTCACAGATGTGGCCGCCCTGGCGTGTGGCCGAGAGTTCTTGGTGAGCTCCAGTCGTGAATTACTGGACACGATGATGCACCTCCTGGGAGACATGAAGCCAGGACTCTGTAACAAATTTAAAGTGTATGATCACTTTTTGTTTTTCCCTTTCAAGTGAAATGCATTATCTTGCAGTGTAGGGCACAGTGATTAAAGTAGTTTTCCCGCTTTCCCATCATTCCTTTCCTGGAGAGGAGACATAGTTTTTGGAAGCTTTTTTCCCGGTAGCATTCCTTGAAGATATACTAGGATTGGCTACAAGGCTTTATCCAGTTTTTTTGTCTCTTTGGAAGTTTCTTAGGCACCATAATATTGTGAAGATGAGCAGGGATGCTCCCTTCTACCTTGGGAGGTGTCGTGAGTTGAGTGTCAGATAAAGGAGATGTGAGTTTGAAAACAGAGAGGATGTGGGAAGTGTGGACTCGAATTTATTCCCTTCCAATATGAAGACTGTAAAATGTCACATGTGCTTAGTGAAGAAAGTGAGTTATGGATCTGCTAAGAGCAAAAATAAATTTTTTTAGGCTACTTAGTAGCCAGACTCACCACACCCTTTAGTTTGTAAGGGTTATAGACTTAAGTTTGTTAAAAGTTAGTTAATTCCTTTGAAAGGACCTCATGATACAGCATTAAAGGCAGGGCCCTGTTACAAGAGTTCAGATACTGGAAAGTAGTTTTTGGTTGGTGAAGAGATGAAAGAAATTATTTTCTTTGCCTGTTCCTCAGAGATGTTATAAGCGGAGGCCGGGACTGAACAAATTACTGTGGCTTAATGAGCGGCTCATTTGCTAAACTATGGGCACTCGTTCATTTGGTCAGGAAGGTGGTTTAAGCCACTGTGATGTTTTTTCATAAATGGGTCACACACACACACAAACAATTCCTGCCCCAGCCAGCTGTCACAGCTCAGCTGACAAACAGCAGCCACAGTAACCTGACCACGTCCTTGCACACATTTAGGCAGGTTGTCTGGGATAGGCCTGGAATCAGGCTCAGTCTGCGCTTTGGAGAGGTTTTATCTGGCCTGATCCCAGCTATCAGAAGGGCAGATGTCAGGCATCTACTGGCTGCCTGGACTTCTTCCCACAGAGGGTGCTGTCAGATGATTGCTCGTGTGAGGGGGGGAACAAGTTGCCCTCTGGAGGTGTTTGTCTCTCCCTTTTTGGTGTTGAGGGGAAAGCTGAGCAGCCTGTGCTGTAGGTAGTGGCTTGATCAGTTAACTGCTCTGTTTCCCAGGTGTTGGGCCTGAAGGTCAGCAGTAGGTGTTTGGGTTTTTTTAAGCCCCAATGGAAATATTTGTATGAGGACCTCAACTTAAGAAAGAAAAGGTAATTTGTGTAAAAGGAAACAAAACCAAGCAAACAAACAAAAAAGCCCAAACAATAAACCAACCTTGAAAAGAGAACCTATACTGTCTCAGAACTTGTAAATTTAAAAAAAAAAAAAAAAGGACTTTGAGAGGAAGAGGGAGAGGGAAGTATTCCCACACACACTCACAAACACTGAATTTCAAGTGAATTTGTACCTATGGATCCAGATAAACTATTTTTGATCATTTCAGTTTATATTAATGTAATTGGGTGATGTAATTGGATTCTGAGGGGCCTTTCTTTTGAATGTATGTTTTGGGTTGGTTTTAATTATATTTCAAAATCTGCCTGCCTTGCAGAAGAATTGCACATGGTGATATAAGCTTGGCTGCGATACAGCACTGCTGGTAAAATATACATAACATAGAAAAATCCCACAAGGGATTCCACACAGGCCAGATTCTTAGGCCAACAAATGGAGGGAAGCTTGGAAAAGAGGTTGCACAAGGCAGTGGATAAGTGAGAAATGTTAAGCATATGTTAAAATAGCTTGAATTCAGCACAGTGATAATGTTTTCTGATATTCCACAGAGCCAACATTTTCTTTTCTTGCTCTGAACTTGTCATGTGACAAAAAAATTGCTGTATTCTGACGTTAGAGCAAATGCCAGAAAGGCTGTTTCTTCATGGCCTTGTCATTGAACCAGGGAGCCCAATTTGCTCAAATCTTTTAGTGCAAAATGTTTCCTCTGTGTTTGCCTTTCATGTCCATGATCAGGTTCCTTTTTTGCAATGAGCTCCCTGTGTGTCTTGTCACTATTCAGTTCTAAAAACCTGTTATTAACACTGGATTTTTTTTCTTGTCCTTTTGGGGGATTTTACAGTCTCCCAGCCCAAAGAAGGGTTTGGGGAGTTGGTTGATTTGTTTTTAAGTTGCTCTCTGCCTGTAAGGTTTTTTTAGCTGCTTATTAACCTTAATCTACATTTTCATAAGCAGATATGTCAGTAGAACTCCCTTTTCTCCCTACCATAAAGAACATAAGGCAGGACAAAATGAAAGACAGTTGTGAGATAAGGTTGTGATAATTACCATAAGTTGTATTGCAGTTTCTAAGTTATGTGAAGAGGGACTCTGGAATCATCATAAATAATATTTACACGTACACTTATATACATGTACACACAGACAGATACATTTTTAAAACTATACCTCACAGCTGAAAATGTCTGTTCATTATTTTGGAAATGCAAAGTATTTTTCTCAAAACCACCATGGTGTTACGTGGGAGAACATCAACTTGCAATTTAATCAGTTAAGGTTTAGCTTATTATTTTAAAGGATATGGTTGTTCTTTGCTTAGTTTTGAGGTTTTACAATTCTTTTCTAGCTTTTATTTTAAAAAACGTTTTTCATTGCTGTGTGACAAAACAGGACAAACTATGAGTCTAATTCTACACTCAGAAATATCAAAGCAAGCTGATAAAGAGGAATTCTCTTACTTTCACTTGTGCAAATGTATAAATAAAAAAGTTACATGGAGAACCTATGATTTATTCCAAAAGTGCTGTGATATCCGTTGTAGCCTGTGAGTATGGAATAAATATATCCAAGGCATCAACGTGAGTGCTGGGCCTGCAATCTCATGGGTGTCGTTGCCTTTCTGAAATAGCAGTGAAGTGAAAGACTTGAGGTTTTCTTCTCACCGATGTAGGGTTTGTTCAGCATTTGTAGATGTTATTCAGTAAACATATACATAATTATTCATTGCTATAATTGAATAGTTAGGAACATTTAACTTTGCTGATGTAGCAGTTGAAAGTAGACAGAAGAAATATGTACTTTGGTAGATATTAGCCTGTTTTATGCACTAATCCCATGTATTAGGCAGACAAGAAGGGGCTTTAGCTGTGCTTTTATAGATTTTAAAGAAAGCATTGACAGATACAGTAGTACAAGATGTTAATTAAATTTGGCTTGCCTCAATAGGAAGATTATGAAGTGCATAATTAAAACACTCTCCATGTTAAAAAAAAGAAACCAAAACAGAAAGTATTGTTTATTCCATAATTATGTGTGCCAAGTTTGCTTCAATAAGCACTTTTGCCATAATTATTGCCAAAAATACTTACTAAAATGTGCAGGTACTAGAGGTGAAGGTGGTATAAAGGGCCTGGAAATGCTTCTGTGTTGTGCCCAGGAGAGTGTGTTGGATTAGATGTGCTATTGCATATCAATATGCTACTGCACTGGCTTGTGGGGTGGGTTATGTCATCTCCCAGCACTCCAAAACCTCAGCTCTTCCTTGGAACTCCACCACCAGTCCCTTTTGTCTGCACAAAGCAAACAAGTGATACAAAAATACAAACACAGCAGTACCTTTTTGCGTCACTTTATTTCTAACTGCAAATGTCAGACAGATTAAGGGTGAAAGACCTTCTCAAGAAATGTTAACATTCCCATTATAAGATACTGGCTTATTGATCATTTCCCTTCTGGCTGATTGCAGGGAGTCATGACTGTGCTCCTTTCTCCAGGGTTTGTGTTCTGGAAGCCAAGAGCTTCAGGGGCTGCGTGAAAAGCATATTTTTCCATGTGTTTGGAATACATGATTTAATAGTAGAAACAGTAGAAACAAGCACATATATATTGCTGATATATAATTTGAGACTTGTCTCTTTTTCCAAAATATAAATTATTAGCACGGGCTTCTGCATCAGCAGATGCCCGACACAAGTGGCAAAAGGTGCTAAAACATGCAAAGAAATCCCAGGCCCTCACATCTTTTTTCTTTCAATTCTAGGCTAATGCTAATGTCACTTTACAACGTGAGCATCAACTTGAAAGGCTTGAAGTACATCAGTGAAAGTCCAGGTTTTATTCCCTTGCTTTGGTGGCTGTTGAATGGTGAGTTGCTCTAAAAACCTTTTTAAACGGTGACTTTCAGGATTTCGTAGATTTGCAGTGGGTGTTGCAAATAACAAACCAGAAATGTATGTGATTAGCTTGTGACAGATTGAAAGTAAACGAAAAGGGCAAATAGCTGGAGGGAGTTGTGCACTTCCCATAATATTTTTGGCATTGTATGTAATATTCCATCAATAATTTGTGGGTAGTAGAATTAAAAAATAGGGAACGGAGAAATTTGATGAAGTGGATTTAAAAAAAAACAACAAAGCCACCTGTATCTTCACATACCAACTTTAAAGTAAACCCTGAGGGAGAACAACCTATCAGCTCACTAGCATTTAACAAAATAAAATGTACACGTTTTGGGTAAAGAAACCAATTCTGTAATTACACTGACCCATTGCAAAAGTGACCCTTCTCGAGCTGAAGAGAGGCCTCGTGCTCTCACATGGTTTGGGTTTGCAGAGTTTGAGTGCTATTCCCAGCTGTCTTTGGCCAGTGCAGGACTTGAAGGACGTCAAGGGCTCGTGTTGCCTCTGTCAGGTACGTGAGTGACATCCAGGCCCTGCTCTTTGGGAGGCTGGAAATCCCTGAGTAGGAGCCAGCAGGGTTTGACGTTGCCAGTGTGTGCACAGCTCATGAGGGACAGCAAGGACAGCAGTGAGGACAGAGCTGTGACACTCTCCTGCCCAGGAACTGCTGCTGGAGTTGCTCTGTCTTGGTTTTCTCAGGTTTTTGTGGGAAGATTTTGGTGTGCAGTTCGTAGGACTGGGGAGGTTGATTCTCCCTCTGTGCTGCAATGCAAAACCCTGTTAAAATGCAACTGGTAAAACACTAACAGCAAGCTGGAGTGAGAGAGGTTGCATCTGCTTTTTGAAGAAATTATTTTGATACTGAAGTTTTGATAGTGAAGGAAAAGCTTTGGTTTGGGTTGGTAAAGTGGAAGTTACTTGTATTGCTCATAGTTCCCATAACTTTTTACAGAAAATGTAGCTACTCATACTTTTTATCAAATAATTTCCTGCTGTGGAATGCCACAGGCCCTCTCTTCTGAGGTCTCAGGAAATTAAGTAATCCTTGTAAGGGAAAACACCAGTTCTATAGAATTTCTAAATATATTTTGAGAAAAATGGTATCCTCAGAGAACATCAAATACGTGGTCCTTTTTTCAGCTGTGCTGAGAAATTTAACATAAGTTACTCCAGGCTTTCCTTTTACTCCATGTTGGCTAGTATAGACATAAGCTGTTCTATGAAAAAATACCAATCCAAAACACCCTCCAGAATCCTGTCCGAGTTCCTAAAGATGCCCTTCTAAATGTTGTGATGAAACAAAGAAGATAATCATTTGATGCAGTCAGTTGTCTGAAAAGGGCTCCTAGGTCACACAACAGGATGAAAATTGGGGCGCAGTTGTAATTAATTTGCAGCTACTAATGGAAATAAGAAATGGAAAGGCTTCTCTGCAGTTTGGAAGTGTTAATTGGGTATGTCTGGGTTGTAGAAAGGAAAGACAGGCATGGCTAATTCCTTCACTTTTTGATAAAAAAGTTCTCCAGTTACAGCAAAGGAGGGAGATTCTCAGATAAACCACTTCTCCTGGCTCAGATTCCTGACTTTGGAGGAAGTCTGCTTGCTGTCAAGGGAGAGAGAGGTGATTAGTTTGTATATCAGATAAGCGGTCAGATCCAACACCCAGTCTCGTTCCCATCATTTTGTGTGGGATCTCTGTAGCCTTCTCTACAATTAATCTATTTCTGAATGCTTCAACTTGCAAAATTCAGTAGCTTCCTCCCCAGTCTTGTTTCCCTGGCCAGCATCTTCAGCCTCTGCTGGCCATGATTCAGCTTATAAACACCTGGAGCTGCTAGAGCATAAGATCTTGTTTTTTCCATGCGGGAGCAGAGCTCTACGCTGTGCTGGCAGAGTATCCTGTACGTGCTGCCTGCCTGCAGGAAGCTTCTTCAAAGAGTGTTTTGATTAAGGCTTATGAGATGACTCAGCTTTCCACAGTTTTGTACGCTTTTATCAGCATTCCCACTAAGAGAGGCCCCAGAAATCATCCTCTGATTTTTTTTTTTTCATTTCCAGAGATCCATCCTGTTTGCTTTTCCATCATCAATCTACAAGTGTCTGTGACCTCAGCAGATACATCAGACCCATTTTTCTACCATTTCCTTGTAAGCAGCTGATAAATCCCTCAAATTCCTTCTCTGAATTCTCAGACTCTGCCCATCCTTGTCCCCCAAAGAAGAATGTCCTTCCCATTGAGTGGAGAGAGCAAATAATTGACTCGATATTCTTTATTTCCCCAAGTTGTCTCTCAGGCTTTTTGAAGAGACAGACACTTGCCTTGATGTTGAATACATGAATTGAGGAGAAAGGAGTTAAAAATCTAATAAAGGCTCCTAGTGGAGTAATAATGTTAACAGCAAACTGTCCTACTGTCTTTGGAAATTTTGGATGAGCTGGTATGGCTTCGTGTTCACTAAGAACTCCTCTTCTGCTGAGGCTGTGCTGGTCACAGGAGAAAATCAAATGTTTTACACACTTTTTGAAGGTAATGCAGGTCTCTGTAGTTTTAGCACTTTATGAGGTGGGCTACCTTTTTCTTCTATTTTTTCCCCTGCCTTTTTAAAACTGTCTAAAAGATGGGCACCCTTTAATAAGCAACACCAATCACTGAAAAATATCCTCTGTGTAGGTATCAGCTGTGCCTACCTACATCTTCCCAGCCTGGTGCCAGCATAAAACACATGAATGATGACTCAGATTTCTGTCCATGGAGCAGCTTGTGGGATCAACAGAGTTCTCTCCTCATGGAGCACCATTTGTCTGCAGAGCAGCTGTTCCCATCTTGGAGAAAACAGGCAGCTTTAGTTTCCTCCATCAGCTGCTGCCCCTGTGTTGATGTCTTGGCTGAGGGTTTCACATAACTTTCAGATTTAAAGAAGCCCTGTCCTCAGCAACAGAAAAAGAAGCTTTATCATTTTGGGTAGAAATCCACCTGGGATTTGGCTGGGTTTTCTTCCTGGTTCTTTCCATCTATAGATGCAATAAGACTTCCATCCTGTAATTCCCAAAGAGGTAGATTGGGACTTTTCTCTGCCAAGATCTTTTGAAGAATAAGAAGAAACAGTCAGCTCAGGTATTAATCAGAAAGACTAGATTTATGTTTTTCATTTTTGATCTTGCAGAGCATCTACCAACAAATGAGTGCTGGAGAAAAGGAGTCTAGGCTCTTCTTTTTGTTTAGGTGGGTGTTTTTTGTTGGTTGTGGTTTTTTTTAATTGTTGTGCATCTTTATTTTGTTTTATTCCCACTTTTCTTTGAATGCAGTTTCAAAAATTTTCAGATACATGAGAAAGCGTGGAATTCAGAGTCACTATGTCAGTGACATTTCTGGTCTGTAGCTGGGAAATTACTCCAGGTACTTCATTAAAGAGAAGACAAAAAGAGGAGCATGACTAATTTTAGATCCTGCCCTTCAGTTTCCTCCACCGCAGTTCCACATGGAAATCTAACCTTGTTTACCCAAATCCCTTGCAAATGATTATAATACAAGCATTATAAATGCTTGTATAAAGCACATTCTCACTTTGCTGCCTGCACCCTTCAATATTTGCTTTCCATGACTAACCCTGAAGGCTTCTAATGCCTTGCTCTTTTACCTGAATTCATTATGGCTGTGAGAATTTTTGAAAATTCAGGCTATTTGCATGGCAGCATGTTATTTCAAAGACATCTGGACAAACAGAACCCCCATATTTATAAACTGTTGTCTGTATTAAAACAAATTTTGGTTCATAAATCAAAACCTCAGGTTACCGGTCTTTCAAGTGCTCAACACTTTCCTACCCTCCAGACTATGCAGTGAATCTTAAGAAGGGGATTGCCCTTCTTGCCCTTTAAGATCACATCCCTTTTAGTAAATGTGAAGATGTCAGCTCTGACGCAGGAAGGCCCTGAGCCACAGGGAGCTGGGAGGCTGGAGGAGAGGCCAGGGGGAGTCTCACTGAATGCTTGTCCTTTTCCATACTCAGACTTTTCCATACTCAGCTCTTGCCTGGATGGAGCTCCAGCTGGGTGCAGAATGGCTGTCCTTACAGGAGAGAGGGGAATGCTTGGTAGCTGAACTCCATGTGAGAGCAGCCACCTGGCCAGGGAGGAGACTGCAGGAAACCCAGCTGTCACACACGAGCTGGGGCAAATATTTTGCAGAGGGAAAGGGCATGTGTGTCTGTAGGAACTGCAGCAGCAAAGCTCAGGCTGTTATTTTTCTGCCACGGTGTGCTCCCTGCTCCTTCCCCACAGAGCATCCTTACTGCAGCATTTCTTACCTCCTCAGGCCTATCAGCAGTACAGAAATGCCTGGAAAACTCTCTGCTGCTGCAGGTGCTGCTTCAGCATTGGCAAAGCAAAGGGATGTTAACTGGGGGAAGCCGTGGCCCTGGCTGCCCCTGTGAACACAGATAAGTCTGACCGGCTCATAAAAAAGAAAGGCTGAGTGGCAGATCCCCCCTTCCTGCTGGAATCAGACAGTAAATGAGTTTAATGACACCTACAGCAGTGGTGGGAAGCTTTGGAAATTGTAAAATCACAGAATGGTTTGAATTGGAAGGGACCTTAAAGAAGACCCAGTTCCAACCTCCCTGCTGTGGAAGGGACACCTTCCACCTAGACCAGGTTGCTCAGAGCCCCATCCAACCTGTCCTTGAACTCTTCCAGGGATGGGGCATCCACAGCTTCTCTGAGCAACCTGTGCCAGTGCCTTACCACACACACAGTGAAGAATTTCTTCCTAATATTTAATCTAACCCTACCCTCTTCCAGTATGAAGCCATTGCCCCTTGTCCTATCACTACATGCCCTTGTACAAAGTCCTTCTCCAGCTCTCTTGTAACCCCTTTAGGTGCTGGGAGGGGCTCTAAGGTCTCCACAGAGCCTTCTCTTCTCCAGGCTCAACAGCCCCAGCTCAACCTGTCTTCATAGCAGAGGTGCTCCAGCCCTCTGATAAGCTTTGTGTCCCTCCCCTGGTCTCACTTCAACAGATCTGCATCCTCCTTATTTTGGGGATCCCAGAGCTGGATGCAGCGCTGCAGGTGGGGTCTCACGAGGACAGAGGACAGAGCAGAGGGGCAGAATCCCCCCCTCACCTGCTGCCCACCCTGCTTTGGATGCAGCCCAGGACACCACTGGTTTTTGGAGCTGCCAGTGCACGTGCCTGGGGCATGTCCAGTCCCTCATCCACCAAGCACCCCCAAGGCCTTTTCCTCAGGGCTGCTCTCAATCCGTTCATCCCCCAGCCTGTATTTGTGATGGGGATCGCCCCGACCCGTGTGCAGGACCGTGCACTTGGCCTTGTGAACTCCTCTGCCCCCGAGCACGGACGTAGCCGTAAACAGCCTGCTGGCAGCAGATCTCACATTCAGGTGGCCAGGGAGCGGTGTGGCCACGTGTGAATTGAGTTCACGCAGCTCAGAGCCAACCGTGGATAAGCTGTTCAGCACTGATGTAATGCCATTACCTAAACCCTGCTGCGGGGAAGGGTTCAGCTGAGAGCTTGGCGCTAATGACAGATGTGACTGAAATCTGGCCGCGCTGTCGGTTGCTTTTGTCAGTGAGTGACAGCCAGTGACATCAAAGGGTAGAGCTGGCAGCCGGCAGGACGTCAGCAAACTCCAGCAGTTTCAACACCTTGGTAAAATTACATCAGCATCTTATGGTGGTGGCAGGCTTGTGATCATCCCTGGCTGAGGCAAGCAGCTCGGTTTCTCCCCCTCTTCCCCAGAAATAACGGTTATAGTTTTGAAATTTTAACTGGGGATGTGTGTGTTGGTCGTTGGGAGGATGTGATGCAGTGATTTGATTATGGCTAAAAGGGTTTTGTTTTTTTTTTTTTTTTTGATCTTGCACAAACAAAATGTTACTCAGCTAGTGTAGAAATGACTAAATCTGGAAGCTATTGAGATAAATATAATGCTGAATAATGAAGATTCCTTACATTTCCCTGAGTGCTCTGTAGACAGGGCTTTTAGAAAAAGTCCCTAATGATATTGGAGACAAGAGAAAGGATTCTATGGTTTGCTTTTATTTATTTTTTTTTTTAATCCTCTTAGGAAACATGATTATCCGTAATAAGTAGTATTCTCAAAACCACATGTAATCCTAAGGGAGTGTATTTTAAGGCATATGTATTTATTTAACTGGGAACATCTCAGAATACATTCAAAACAATGGCAATCTGAGGTTAAATGCGTATTAAGTCATCCTCTGGTGCACGATCATTTCCTTCCTTTGCTGTGTGCCCACGTGCCTGATCTGTTCTTCATTTGAGTGACTCAAGCCGTTGAGCTTCCCTGGCTGCTGCTGGAGGTTCTTCCTAGAACCCCTTTGCTCTTACTGGAAAATGCCCTTGCTTGTCAAGCTGGAAATCATTTCCTGATCTCCTACAGATCCTCATTTTTTGTTGGCTCCCCTGCTAACGCTTCTTCCCTGATCAATTCTTTGCTTTCTACAGCCCTTAAACACTTGCAGATAACAGTAACATCGACGCCTGTAACAGTATTAATAAAAAAAAGCTCTTTTCATCTTACACATGTGAAGCTTCCCAGCAGTACTGCAACTATTACAACTATTAATGGCTTTATTTCATGGAGGAACTTTCCTTCCTTCCCAGGGAGGAAGATTGTAATGAACTACATAGATTTCACTCCCCAAAGCTGCTTCTTACCTATTTGGGCTATAGTTTGTGGCTGCTATTTCTGGTGAATAAACGTAGAATTCTAAGTACAGAAAAAGGGGGCAGGTGATTGTGTGCAGAGTTTGAACATTATATGTGGCAAAAAAATAGGCATTAAAAAACCAGAAAAACTGTGGCAGGCATGGAGACAAAAATGGAAGGAATGAGAGAATGAATTTGAGGCTTTTAGTCGTATTTTGATTGGTTCAGAATAAATCTGAAAGCCAGAACTCTTACCCAAGGTTTTTTAAAAAGGGTTCCCTGAAGTGTTGCTGCCCAGACAACTGGACATAAAGTGTTGCTGTCTGTGAGGCTGAGCTGCAGCATTTCTCCATGGGTTGTGGCTGCTTATAACCCAGAAAGTCACATCATGCTGGAGATGATGATGGAAAGAGACTCCTTGGAGCCTTCAGCCTGGGTGTCAGCAATAGGAGTGGCTGTACCATGGGTGTGCCCACTTCTGTGGGGTGTGCAGCACTAATCATGGGGGTTTTATTGATGGTTTGCCAAGAGAAAATAAAATTCCTTTCCTAAGGGGTTGGGTATTTCCATTTATGATGGAAAATGGAGGAAGAGAGAGAGAGAGAGAGTGCCTTCCTTGTGGGTGTAAATCAGATGTGACAATCTTTAATACTACACTTCAGCCATGTGCTACTGGGAATTACTTAAAAATCCCAATTTTAGCAGTCAGTTCCATGCTTAAAGCCATAGTCTTCTTCACTGTCCATCACATTCTGTTCTCTGCCCCCCTGGGTGCTTTCAACCCTTGTGCTTTAATGAATAATTCTCCTCAGTCCTTTCTCAGGTCACTGGCGTTAGGTATTAAATAAGCCAGGAAGGGAAAGAACTCACCTCAGCCCACCAAATGCTTCCTTCACCCTTGGTGCAGTGTGGTTTATCACTGCACTGCATTTGTGCTCCTTCAGTGAGATTTCGGCCTCTCTGGTGATTTTGTGCACAAAGGGACCCGAATTAATTTTCTCAACGTTTCTGCACAATGCCTTATCTAAAGCTTGCTGAGGAGTAGATATGCTAATGAAAAACGCATTAAAAATGCACGGCACGTGGGGCAAAAAGCTACTTCAGCCATAAAAATATATTAGACATTTTCATTTGGAATGTGCAGAATAGAGAAGTCTTTCTGCCACGTGCTTTTGATAAAGCTGTAAACCACTAAATGCAAATGGACTGTTGTGAATGATTAAAATATAATGCTCGTAATGTTTCAGTTAATTAAAAATGCATCCTGTGTTCTTAGCAGTGGAGTTATTACACGTCTTCCTGGCTTAAGTCAGTCAAAGGTCTTTGCTGCATTCCTGAGCAGCAGTGCTTAGCTCCAGTACCCGTTTCAATTTTGTGTGGACTGAATTAAACACTTGGAAGGTTGATACATGGTTACTAAAAAGTTTTATGAAGATCAATTATTTTGTTGAGCTTTGAAGAAATCCGAAGGCTCGCAGAAAAAAGAGTGAAAGAAAAGCCAGATGATTTACTGCGGATTTGATTCCTTGGTCTGTTTGTTTGTTAAGTCTGAATAATCAGGGGATATAGCTTGTTCTGCTCTTAAATCGGATTCCATCCAACAGTGCATCCTGAGTACTGGATAAATCCAAGTGGATAAATTCCCTGCTTTATAGCATTTTCAACATCTGAAAAACAAGGGAAAGGTTCCTGGTTATCTCTATCTCCCAAACACTGCTGAGTAGAGTCTGCTGAGAGAGGACCAAGATCCAGCCAGCGCCAAACGCCAGCTGGGAATTACGGTCCTTGGGTTATTCCCTGTCTGCCTGGTGGGTCATGAGGAATGGCACCTTTTAATGCTGCCTTTTTGGACTCGTAACAAACCCTGGATATTTTTTCTTTCCTGCTTCTAGACCCGGACACAGAAGTTTGCCTTCATGCTCTGAGGCTCCTGCAGTCGGTGATCCTGGAGCCAGAAGTGTTGGCCAGGACAGCCCCCGAGATGAGGGATACTCTGCCCTTCCAGCGCATCCTTGCCCTGTCAAAGAGCCGCAATGCAGATCTGCAAGCGCTTGCAAAAGAACTACTTGAAGATCTTAAAATATTTGAGTATGAAGCGTAGAAGGGCTCTAGGACACCAACTGCTCACGTCTCTACTGTATTTTTGTGCTGCAAGAGTTGTTGGAGATGGCTGAAAAAAAAAAAAAGGCCACTGCCTAAAGTTGCTCTGACAAAATCCTTTTCGGAAATTAGGTAACCCAACTGAAACCACACTTGGGAAAACATGTTGGGTTTTAGCTGCCCAAATACAATCTTAGGGGCTCTGGTAGAGATGGGACAGACTGAATTTCTTTGAGTAGGATTTTGCTGATAATGGGTTTCCAGAATGGTCCAGGTTATGTTATCTGTTTACTCTCTGGAGGGAGTAAAATAGTCTTCTCATTCACTGATAATACATAGTTTATGGCAGTGATAAAAATCCTTTTGGTCCATCCTTAAGAATTATTGTACTGGGAGGAAAACTTTGCTGCCTTTCATAACTCTTTTGTGTCAGAATGGACCCCACTTCCAGTTTTACTGTTGTTGTTTCTCAGCTCTCTTCTTCTATTCTAATAAAAGAAAACTGAAGTTCTGTAGCATGTAATGTATTCTGCTTTCAAATGTTGTATTCAGAGTCACTCTTAACTGCAAGTCGCCCAGGTCTGTGGCTGCCAGGCATGCTAGAAACTGAGCTGTGGTTTCTAGAAAAGTCCTGAGAAAGGAAATAAACTGCTGTTGCCCATGGTAGTCGTGTGTTGAGAAGAGGCTGAAATGAACTGCTGCTCTGTCGTGAGCAGCATCACTTCCCCTCTCAACCGTGGTGTTAGAGCCTCTGAGTAGAGCTTTCTTACCCTAGGGGTAGATGCAAACACTTGTGTGCTTGGCATTAGTGGAATTTACAATTTTTTTAAAGAAAAAAAATAGCATCCATTTCTGTGGTGACAAAAACAGGGCCAGTTAGGGGAGGCTGTTCAAAGGAACAGCAAACGAGAAGTGCAGTGCTGGGGCAGCACCTTTCTCCATACTAAAGTTACTGCACCTCAGCTGGGAACCCAATGCATTAACAAAATACAATGTGAACTTCAAATACATAGAAAACACATAGGATTTAAATATTGTGACTGACAGACAGCTTTGGAGGAAGACCAATATAAAATGTGTAAGTTAAGGTACGGGGCATCTCCCATTAGGCTGTTTGCAGAATGACGAGTGTTCAGAGTCAGAAATGTAACAAATCAGCTTAAAATTACTTGGCTCTAATGCTACAGATGGTAGCAGTCTGATTTGGGGCTGTAAGGTGAAGATTAAGATAAGAGATCTCACACACATGAGTGGGTTGCTTGGGGTTCTGCCATGTCTGATTCAGCCCTGCACTGAACTCACCAAGTGCAGGTTTTTGGAAGGCTTTAAATCTTCTGTAAAGCATGATTTCTTTGGATTTGTTTTCTTATCTTGCTATCCTAGTTAATCCTCCTAGAGTTTAATCCTAAAGGGATCAAAATGATAATTGTTAATTTCCTGGAATATCAGCTCATGAAAGTCTTCAGTTTTCAAGAAACACTGAAGGGCATCCACTTTCCATTTAATTGCTATCTGCTCATGAAGGTCTTTCATCAAACTTTGGGAAACCAGTAAATAACAGAAAAAGAAAAGAGTAGTTCTGTGAACAGAAGAGCTGATGAAGCTTCATGTCCTGTGGCCTTGAGATATTTCTTGAAAATTTCCTTGCCCTTCCCAAGCTGAAACCAAATCCACACAAGGGTCATTGTGGATGGCCAGGTTAGTTAACTGTGGGGATGGGCCACTGATACCACAGTTTTTCCCCAGCAAGCTGCTGAGATCTGATGATAGCTCTTTCAGTGTCTCCCAGGTGAATTTATTTTCACGTGTAGCTTGCCAGGACTGTTTCTTCAGAGTCAAACGATCCACTGACCTTGAGAAAGTCTTTTTTTCTGTATCAAGTGTTTCCTTATGCAAGACTGATAAATAAGAAAAAGTTTACAATTAATGTTGTGGTTTTTATTCTTTGTGTGGGTTTATGGAAAAGAAAAAAGACAACATTTTGGGGGGGAACTTGTTATTACAGGGAAGCAAATTCATAATACTTTTTGGTTCAGGGAAAAAAGCGTCACTGGAGTCAAATTGTGCTGAAGTAAGGTGAGTGGATAGGAGCCTTAATGAATAAGCCTTAATTAACCCTTAACATTTCAGAGTGTTTAAATTTCATCAAGGTGTCTCATGTTTAAATGTTTTAGTGAAATAAGATGGACATTACTAGTTGCAGATTGCACTGTGAGCCATTATCTTGTGTGCTGATAAGCTCAAGAAATCCCTGTTTAGAGGAGAAAAGTATTTAAAGGCTTAATTTGTCTTCGTTTGGTTAGTGCTAGAAATTAGGCTGTTAAATAACTGTGGATCTCCTTTGAATCTCCCTCTCCCCTGAAAGACATCTTTTTTTTTGACAGGTTATGAATAAAAGAAGATAGAGAAGCTCTGAAAACTCAGAGCATGTCAAAGCTTTATGCATGAACTTGAGCAATGGGTGGCACCCAGGACACAATATGACACTGCAAAGGGCTGCTGCAGCTAAAGACTGGTCAACACCTGCACTGTAAATCTCAGCTTTTACTTTGCTCCAGTCTGAAACTGTGGACCATTAGGAAGTTTTAACCCATTGAAAATCAAGAGTTCGGCCTGTGCTTGGGGAAACACAGGCTTTGGAGCGTTGCTTTTTCTGGATCCTGTTGAAAAGTTGGGATTCTTCTGCGTAGTAATTCATTAACTGCATTACTATCTCACAGGAGTGAAGGGGGTTCACACGGGCAAAGCCCTGGTTTCAGTAGCTGTGGCCAAAGTCCAGAGTTAATCTAGCGTTGCTGTTTCCTCTGTTGCACAATCTCAGAGCTTCAGTGAGGGAGAGAACGTGAGTTTGGTGTTCCTTTGGGATTATCAGTTACCCCAGATTTACACCCATATAACCGTAAGTGCAGTTTGACTCTCGTGCTGAGCTGTCTCAAAAGATGAAAAATCTGTTTTGTAAACTCTTAGAAGAAAAGGTTTACTCACAGTTTTATCTGCATGATTAAAAATTGAACTTGGCTCCTTTCAGTCTGTATACAGAGCACAGAAATTATGCCCATGCTGATGCTCCTGGGAGATACTGGCTCTTCGTATCTGATGCTGGCAAAAGGAAAATAAACTACTATCTCCTAAACTTATTTCCTGTAACTTAAGAAATTTGTAATGTTTTGTAACATAATGTTTGTAATGTAATGTTTTGCCCCACCAGTTCTTTGTGTGGTATCTCAGGTCAGTGTTTGGCCTGGACTATGAGCTGGCTGAAAAGAAACTGGAAAAGCTCAGCAAAAGAAAGTAAGACCCACTGTGAAGGCAGAGCTCCCCCTGTGGCTCTGTGCCCTGTGCATGAGTGGCCTGGCACCTCCAAAGAGCACTGAGAGATTTTGGATGGGAACAGCAACCAGCTGCCCAGTTATGGCTGTTTAAGGGAGGGAAGTAAGTCCCTCTTAAGGAAAAACGTGAGGAAGAACGGAAAGTGGTGGCAATTCAGTCCTGTGGCCACAAGTGAACTTTTCAGATGATTCAATTTCAGCTGGTTGCACCATTCATTTAACTGCTCCTTTGAGTTATCATTTGCACTTGTGATATGCACTGATTAGCACAAATTGGACTTCAGAATTGATAAGGTTTTACAAGTCTTGCAATGTTGTGTGATTCATCTCCCCTACAGCCTCCAGTCCTGCAAGGATGCAGGAGAAAGGAATTTTACTGGGGAATAAGGAACCTCTGTTTCCTCTGTTACCCCTGCCCGAGGCTTGTACGACAAGTTAAGAAATATGCAAAGCACAGCTGCCCCTTTCTTTCTCTTCACAGCATCTCATTTGCAGCTCCATCTGGCCATGTCTGTGTTGTTCTGTAATTTTCCTGGTTTGTGTGCAGGGACTTTGGCAACTGCGAGTCGCTTCTGGTATACGTGAGTTACAAGTTACAGCTGATAAAAAGTCATTAGAGAACTCCTGTGGTAAATACAGATTTTAACTTTGTGATGACCTTTGCAACCTATAACTTGCTCGGTCGGAAACCTTGAAAAGACTTTGACCAAAGCATAGCTACACATGTAATTTATGGGACTATAATTTTTACTGTGGGCGCGACTGCAGTTGAAGCTCTTCAAATGCCAGGTGCTGAGTTCTTCCAAATGCACGTGGTTTTCATTTTCTGTGCTGCCGGGCTGCACTCGGGAGATGCAGCAACCCCCGAGGGAAAGGCTGGTGAGAGCCTCAGCCGTGGGGTGAGGAAGAGAAAGGTGTTGTGTGACCTGAGGGGGAAAATTCTGCCAGGTGGATGGAGAAGGTCAGGTCTGACTGAGCTGCCTAAGAGGCTTTCACGCCACCTGAGTCTTGCTTTGAAGTGAGGCAGGAGAAGGGGTTGGGTGTTAGGAGAGCAGGTGAGCTGCTTGAAGCTCTCTGCAGAGATAATACCTCCTTGATTCTGTGCTTATACCACTGCTGGGGTCAAATAAAGTGCAGCAGTCACTCTGTACTAGCACAGAACAGGAAATGGAGAATGCAGGAGAACAAGCCCAGTTCTTGGATCTGCACCCCTTCCTCCTGAGCAGAGTCTGTGGTGTCCAGAATAAATTTCGTAGATTAACAAAATGGCTTGGGTTGGAAGGGACCTTAAAGATCATCTTGTTCCAACCCCCTTGCTGTGGGCAGGTTTCTCAAAGCCCCATCCAGCCTGGTCATGAACACTTCCAGGGATGGGGCATCCACAAGGGCATTTTGGCTTAGCCATGGCACATGTGAAAGCTGGTGGATGCAGCCAGCCCCTGGCTGCTCAGTGATGTGCTGTGGCGTCACCAGAGGACTTGCTGCTGTGGTTCCTGGTGTTTTCACAGCTGCTGTAGGGCTGGTTGGGGCCTTCAGTGCAGCACGAGGTCTTCAGGAGCACTTCTTCAGGCTGTAGGTTTCTGGGGGCTGCTGGCTTGGGGAAGAAAGGATGGTGGGCATCCAAAGCCCAAGGAGAGTTAGGGCCTTCTGCTTGGGTAAGAAGTCCTCCAAGTTCCTGTGGTGGGAGTCTGGATCTGTGTCAGTACTCCAAGGCATGTGCCAGAACATTGAATTAGAGGTGGAAGACCTTCAAGGTGATGCCATGGTGATGGCAAGGGAAGAGAAACATGGGGGCTGGGTCCTCAGGCCTATCTAAGCAGGGAGCAGAGCTCTGGGGTGCTGAGGGCAGGGAGGGCTGGGGCCCCTCCAGGCAGTGCCTTTCCTGCCCACAGGACTGTGGAGCTCCCAGTGGGGCCTCCTGGCATGGAGGGGATGGTGAAGGGACTGATGGAAAGTGGCCATGGAAAGGGTAAGACAAACCATAATCACCCAGGAGAGCCCTGGGAAGCCCACAGCCAACAGCCAGGCACTCCTGGCCCCTGCTGCCTGAGAGCAGGCTGGGAGCCAGTGGTAAGAGGGAGTGAAGTCTCTGAGGACATGACTGGAGGGCTGGGGACAGACATGGCTGGGATTTGAGCAGTGCTCCAGGCTCTTCTCCCAGCCTTGGGGCAGCATGTTTCTGCTCAGGCTGGGG